GCCCGTTGGCCGGGTCCTCATTGCCAAGCGGGGGCGCGGCGGGTGGCCGTATTTGCGCCGGCGGGGTCCTCTTTGCCAGGTGTGGCTGGGCGGAGCGAGGTGTCAGTCGGGGCGGGGCGGTTGGGTATACCAACGGAGTGAGAGAGAGAGGGAGAGAGAGAGAGAGAGCCGGTCGGGAGGCATTGGGAGGTGCGGCGGGGCGGTCGGGTGGAGCGAGGGGGGAGAGGGCCGATAGTGTGGCTGGCCGCAGTGACGAAGATTCAACCGGGTAGTGTATGTTTCCATGTTCTAGCCGAAGATTCATTGGATGTTGCTCATCCTATCGATGGAAGTAGCATTGCGGGAGCCGCGAGGTCGGAGAGTTATCGTCTCTCTCTCCCTTTCTCTCTCTCTCTCTCACACACACACGCACACGCAAACACACACGAACGATTCATTCCGATTTCGCTAAAAAAGTGGCAGTGTATATTTCCACGTTTCAGCGGAAGATTCATTCCGTTTTTGCTCATCCTATCCATGGAATGGGTGTGTGTGTGAGAGAGAGTCTCTCTCTCTCTCTCTGTGTGTGAGTTATCGTCTCTCTCTCTCTCTCTCACACACACACACACGCGAATGATTCATTCTGATTTTGCTCAAAAAGTGGCCGTGTATATTTCTACGTTTCCGCGGAAGATTCATTCCGTTTTAGCTCATCCTCTATGCAATGTGTGTGAGAGTTATGGTCTCTCTCTCTCTCTCTCTCTCTCTCTCTCTCTCTCTCTCACACACACATGAACGATTCATTCCGATTTTGCTCAAAAAGTGGCAGTGTATATTTCCACGTTTCGCTCTCTCACACACGCGCGCGAATGATTCATTCCGATTTTGCTCAAAAAGTGGCGGTGTATATTTCCACGTTTCAGTGGAAGATTCATTCCGTTTTTGCTCATCCTATATGCAATGTGTGTGTGTGAGAGTTGTGGTCTCTCTCTCTCTCTCTCTCAGATGCACACACACACAAACGATTCATTCCGATTTTGCTAAAAAAGACACGAAAGATTCATTCCGATTTTGCTCAAAAAGTGGCAGGGTATATTTCCACGTTTCAGCGGAAGATTCATTCCGTTTTTGCTCATCGTATCGATGGAATGTGTGTGAGAGTTATCGTCTCTCTCTCTCTCTCTCTCTCTCTCTCTCACACACACACACACACACGAACGAACGATTCATTCCGATTTTGCTCAAAAAGTGGCGGTGTATTTTTCCACGTTTCAGCGGAAGATTCATTCTGTTTTTGCCCATCCTGTGTGTGTGTGTGTGAGAGAGAGAGAGAGAGAGGCGATAAGTCTCCAACCCGCTTCTCGCCGCACGCTACTTGGATAGATAGAATCAGCGAATCGAAAAGTGGCAGTGTATATTTCCACGTTTCAGCGGAAGATTCATTCCGTTTTTGCTCATCCTGTCGATGGTGTGTGTGTGTGTGTGTGATGGTGTGTGTGTGTGTGTGTGTGTGTGTGTGTGAGAGAGAGAGAGAGAGCACGCTACTTGGATCGATGGAACGAGCAAATCAAAAAGTGGCACTGTATATTTCCCCGTTTCAGCAGAGGATTCATTCTCATTTTGCTCATCCTATCGATGGAATGTGTGTGTAAGACGTTCATATTCGACCAAGGCGAGAGAGAGAGAGAGAGACGTTCATGATTCGACCAAGGAGAGGTGAGGGGATGTGACCGCACACACACAAACACACACACACACACACACACACACAGAGGGAGAGAGAGAGAGGAGATACGGCTGCAGCCCGGCCGGATGTGACTGCGCAGGTACAAAGTAACAAGGAGAGAGAGAGAGAGAGATGGAGCAGACGACAAACGTGTGAAGAACACAGAGGGAGAGAGAGAGAGAGAGAGAGAGAGAGAGAGAGAGAGAGAAACACAGAGGGAGAGAGAGAGAAACAGACAGAGCAAGACGCCATCAGCGAGCGTGGCTGTGAGCCACGGCGTAGAAAAAAATAAACAAATCTCAGAAAACAAAATAGAGACATTAAAAAATACGCAAACAGAGACTCCACACTGCCCCTGCCCGAATGAAGCAATCCAAGGCCCAAAAAGTGTCCATGGCCCTAAAAGCCCACCCGAAACATGGGCCGTTTTACTTCAGGGCCCTCAGGCCCGAAGTCGGGCACCTATGGCCTGTGTGGGAGGCCTATGCATGCCTGTCTCTCTCTCTCTCTCTCTGTGTCTCTCTCTCTCTCTCTCACACACACACACACATGGGCCGTTTTACTTCAGGGCCCTCAGGTTCGAAGTCAGGCACCTAGGGCCTGTGTGTGAGGCCTACGCATGCCTCTCTCTCTCTCTCTCTCTCTCTCTCTCTCTCTCTCTCTCTCCCCCCTATCCTATCCTCTGGAAGAACTGACAACAATGGGCAGTTAGCTCATCTACACTTTCCTTGCCACTTCAGACACTTGAAGGATGCTGATATGGCCAGTCAGCATTCATATGCGACACTGCCCCGGTAGTTTTATGCTCCACAGGGAAAGCTGCCTCAAGGGCAGAGAAATCATGCCTTTCAATTTGCACCTTCGGCGACCTCCAGGACTCTGCATCAGCTGCAACCTACACCACCCATGGAGGGCAAGATAGGAACAAAGAAACAAAGAAGGGCCCACCCATAACGGATGTAAGTGGGCTTTGGATACCTCCCTGTGCTGAGGGAAAAGTGCTAGCTGCTCTTTTCCAAGCAAGCCTCTGGCATATACGTCTGCGCGACTCTGCAGCCCCTGGCTGACAAGTTCCTCTGGATTGATATTTCCACAATGAGATGATGTGGCCATTCTTCCTTTTCTTTTCTTTTCTTTTTTTTTTCTCTTTTTTTTGTTTGACTAAGCTCCATTCTATTGGTGGGGAGCAGCACCTGATGGAAACCGGGTCCATCATCCCATTATACATGAAAGGCTCAGAATGCTCAGAATACGGCCCGGCCTTTTTCACGACCAGAAACCGTCTGACATCTTCTCCATGCTTTCTGTGGTTGGATTCCGCACGTCGTTTGTGGGTATTAAAGTTGACGTACACAAAAACACCCTGCTGTCTCCGATCAATAAAGGACGTCCACGATCCACATTGGCCTAGCTGGCAAGAACAAAGATTGTCGCTCTTATTTATATTGGTTTAGGCCCTTTAGGGGCATGAACACTACTAGCCTTGGGATCCCTCCAGGTCAGTAGACGTAAATAGACCACCACCCTCAGACGTAATAACTGTGTATTGGTTTAGGCTCTTCAGGGGCATGAGCACTACTACCTTCTTCCCCCGAACATAACGCATATGCGTTGTACTCGAGTTTCCAAATTTGACAACGCATATGCGTTATGTTCGGGGGGGAAAAAGTAGCCTTGGGATCCCTCCAGGTCACTAGACGTAAAGGGACCGCCGCCCTCAGACATAATAACTGCATTAAAACACTTTGCCATTTGGGCAATCCGCCCTTCCGTGCATGGCTACATTCAACTTGTTTGCTCTCTTTTTTTTTTTTTTTTTTTTTTTTTTTTAATATCCATCGATGATCCTACAGGGAATGATACGAGTACCCCATGAAAAAGGAAAGACAGATTGATGCCATCCTTCATGTTGCATGATCCACACTCGCCCCCCTTCCGGACGCGGCCAGCAAAGAGAAGTACGGGAAAATGTAGGAAAATTACGTAAATGGCATTGTGTACTCCTACTCACTTGGAAAAGGCAAAAACTTAAAGACCATCCTCGCTGATGATACTATAGTGTTCAGTGACTTTGGACCCGATTTCCAGCAGGCGCTGCTCCCAACCAAGAGACGGAGTCTCCCCGGGAGCACTGTCGGTGCCTGCGCTTATCGGCACCCCTAGCATCAACTCAGGCACTTGGGAAAAAAAGGAAGGAAAAAAAAAACCAGAAATGATCATATGATTTTTCCGAATTGCTGATTTCTTGAA